TGGATCAGTGACTGTAATCCACTCTACATTGGGCTTTGAAGAACATTTAGTTAGTAGTGAATGTTGCTGCCCATCTCCTGAATGTGAAAGGAGGCTGAATCAGACAGAGGCTATTTTGCCACAGCTGCATTTGTTGTCTATTGACTCCTGCATTCAGTTTAAGACAGTGTTTTTAATTTTAAAAGTCCTTTGCTGCTTGTGCCTCACATATCACAGAAAGGCAGTCTTCAAGAATAAACTGTGCTTTGTTTTCCCTCTCCTACTTATATATTGCTGTTTTCTGAAGGAAATTATAGGTGCAGGCCTTTCACTGGTGTGATACTAAGACTTTAAAATACAATTGCCATTACTTTTCAGCCTCTTTCAGAAAGACTGGGAAGGCAGTTGAGGATATACAATTTTATCTCTTCATCTGTGAATTATTTTTGGTTTTGGGCTGTTTTAGTTCTACTTGATCACCTGTATGTTTTAGAACACGTTGTTTTAAGATACTAGTATTGTGCAGTAGTTTATTTTTGCTTAGGTTTTTTTTTAAGCATGGCACAATATGTTTAACATAAATCCATTTTCACTACTGCCTAGCATTAAATTAAGTCTTCAGCTAACCAGCAGGGCTATTCTTTGCAACTGGCAACTTTAAATAAGTGCCTACCTTAAACTTATTTGGAGATTTCGTTAGGAAATCATTGTCTAGATGTTTACTAAGATAATTTATTGCACAATGAGTGCACAGCTTTTCATGTTACTTTAACATTTTGGTTACTCTCCATGGTGGAAAGAAGAATGTAACACATAAGGATAACATGAGCAACTTACAATGCCATCTAAGAAGAGTTTCACCTTTCTAAGTTCAATGGGTTTAGCAGGGCTTTGCTTACACTGGCACTGTTTGTTTTGTTTTGCTTCACCGCATGTGTGAAGCTGGTGTGAAGCTGAAATACATTGTGATTCCCCAGTGTGGACATCTATCTCAGAATTGGCAATAGGAATGTGAAATAGGCTTCCTTCATCCCTGTGATATTTTATTTATTTATTTATTTATTTTACAAAGGGGACAAATTGAGAATTTATAGAAGTGGGAATAGGCTTTATTGGGGGGGGGAAGAAAGGGGACCAATAGTTTTGACAGATTGTTCAGTAAACGTCCCTTTTATTGAGAATTATAAAAAGGTGCTTAACACTGCTGTGTCATTAATATGGTACATTAAAAGGTTACTGTCAAGATAATGTTTCAGTTTTCAAAATTGACTGTAAGGGTTTATGGGCAGCACTCTTAATATTCTGCCGAGAAGATAAGGTATATTTTAACTTACCACTTGACAAAATTATTATGTTGTTACAGGGCTCCTCTTGAAGAGCTTGATTAATGTTAAAGCATAAATAAAACCTTATTTGAAAATAAAAGGAAAATTAGACTTGAACTGCTTGTGGCAAGCCTAATTTAACAGATGCCAACTTATGTGCTAGGTGATGGTGTGGAAATAGTGTTAGAGCAGTGTAAAATTAACCTTTTTTCAGTATCTTCCTTCTGGACCATGACATTTAAAAAACATATTTTACTATGAGCTGAGTAAAAAAATAAATTCCTTAGTTGAAATTTAATTAGCATTCATAATCTAGATACCATGTTTGGGGGGTATTTGTGATATCTCCATTTTTTTAAAAAAAATGTTCTTAACTCCTAGAAATGCATTGCAACATACAGATGGGAAGAAAGAAGAGAGACTGTTTAGCAAGCTCTGTGTGTAAAAGGAATATTGCTTCTTGCACACTCCTGATTACCCTGTATAAACAGTTTCTGACATCTGTCTTTATAGTTTTCGAGGAGAGAAAGACTTTGTTAAAAGAACCATTTTTGTATAGCAGTCACCGTTTCAGTCTTGCTTTACCTGTATTATGAAAGCAGATGGTCTGCATGTCTTTTGAATATTTATAACTATCAAAAACAATCTCTTGCTATTCACCCTTAGGCTTATGAGATGTCAGGACTGTTCTAGTTGGGGAAAAATCATCTTGGGTGTTTACAGAAAGAGGATTACATTAAGCTGAAATGACTATACATTTTCCAGTTTAATATTTGTCCATCAGCTGTTTAATCGTATTTAGATAATTGTGTAAATAAGTTGTTGTAGCCCTTGCCCCCTCTACTGCTCGAGCTTGAAAGCTTTAAACGCCAATGAGCCAGTTGTGTAAATGCTTCTTTCTTCCTGTCTTGTTCTAACATTCTAAAAGGGCTAAGAAAGTTTCTGGCAGTAATAGTTTGAAAAGGCACATTTTACACACACACAAATAGCCTAATAGTTTTACCTAGGTCTATTTGATTCTCTGTCTGTGGAGTTGCCTGCTTGCTTTTGTTCTGTGTTGCCGTTGTAATGCCTATGTGTTTTGAGATTGATCCTTGGTCTTCTTTTACAATTTGTGTATAATGCTTATGGTATAAACCTTAAAAGAAGAGATTTAGGGACAGGGCAGGATAAGTTTGCACATGTCTGTTTTGACCTGAAGCTGAGCAATCACTGATAACAGATTTTGCAGTGGCTGGTTGATTTGGCAGCAAAGCATGAGCAGTTTTGGTTTAGATGATTGAATTGACATGATTAATTTTTTTTGTTGTTTCCCACAAAGAACAACAATGCACTTTTAATCATAATTATAAACCATATCTGGCCTGCCTGATGAGAGTACTTATAGGTCGTAGTCAAGAAATGTCGTCCTAAAAACTGTTATATTGATTGATGAAAAATGGATAAGGTCTGAAAGGCTTTCTCACATCTAGAAAGAAATCTTATCTTCTGGCCTAGTGGCAAACAGTATAAATGTCGTCTGAGATGGTTGAATGTATTAAGACACAAAATTACTTGCGTACCACCTTATGTCGTACTTCATCAGAGGATAGGAATTCAGATATGGGATACATTTTTACTCTGTCTAGATGAACCAAAAATGAACTTTAGAAAAAGACATTTAGTCCTTAGTGTCACATAGCTATGGAAGATATTGTAAATAATGCATTTGGCTAGAAAAGAAAACTCAGGCTATGGCAGATGGTAACATCCCAAAGTAGTGGGGCTTTTGCAAAGGTGGCACCATTTCAGATCATATCTTCATCAAGCTCTGAGAAGAAGAACTAAAAGTGTTGCGTGTGTATAAATTGAGTACTTTTGGATCTTAGAGATGCATACAAACTCAAAGTAACCTTGCAGGAGGTATTCCAACATAGAGATATCTGTATTCAGTTTTAAATGAATTGTCAAACTAGTCAAAAGTTTTCCTGTTTCTGAAAGGGCAAAAGCTGTCACGAGCTCCTAAAAGAACTAATCTCAGACACTGCAACATGCTATATTTTATGCTAGTTCTGCTTTCTTGTGAATTTATAAACCCTTAATAGGTATGGACATTATGAAGAAAATAAATGAATAGGGAACCCATAGCTTGAAGCTAAGGTTGCCAACTACAGGTTTGGGGTGGTGCCTTGGGAGGGTGGGGTTTGGGGAGGGAAGGACCTCAGTGGGATATAATGCCTTAAAGTTCACTCTCCAAAGCAATGAAAACATTTACAGCCATCTGCCATTTTACAGTCTTGAAAAGTCCCAAAAATGTTCTTGTTAATTTGTTCTTGTTAAAAAGCTTGGTGTCACCCAGTGAAGTTGATACACAATAGCTTTAGGGCAAACAAGAAATACTTCTTTACTCAACATGTAAATTGTGGGCATCACTGCCAGTAGATGTAGAGATAGGCACAAGAATAGATGGGATTAGATAGATTAATGGAGGATAGGTCCATCAGTGACTACTAGTCATGATGACTAAAAGAAATGTCCATATTCAGAGACAGCAAAGCTCTGAATACCTGTACTAAGAGGCAACATTGGGGGAAAACCTCTGTTTCCTATTTGTTGGGCTTCCAGGGCAACTGGTTGACCACTGTTAAATAGGATACTGCACTGATCCAGCAGGGCACCTCTTATGTTTTTGCTAAAAGGAATCTTTTCTTAGTAATTATGAAAACCAAAACCAGGAGTCAGGGCTGGTGTCAGCATAACCTGAGGTGGGGCAGCTGCCAGGGCCCAAGGATTCTGGCAGGTGGTTCACCACCACCCATGCTCCAAGATGCTTGCATTGCTAGTGTTACTGGGGGAAGGGCTGCAGGCAGTGCTGGTGGCTGTGAGTATTGGCTGTGGTGGTGGGGCTCACAAGCAGGCAGGGGAAGGACACCCAGGGAAGTGGGAGTCATGTGGATGTTTGGGAAAAGAGGGTGTGAAGGGAGGTCCTGTAGGTGAGCAGAGGAAAGGAGGGGCACCCTGGAAACTCTGCCCAGGGCCCACCAGAACCTGGAACTGGTACTGATAGGAGTGACATGCATTCAGGTATTAACTGTTCATAAAACTAAAGAACTTATTTTTGTTAATATAGTAGCTATAGAGCAATTATTATTTGGGGGAAATGTAGCCATTAGTTGTATTAGTTAGTATTCACACCTTTTAGTTATGCTGGTGCTTAGCTTCTGTTGTAAATGCAATGAGGTAAGCTGATGGGCACCCAAGCATTCTTCCTCTCTGCACATTTTGTGCTAAGCGAGGACTAGTGATGAGGCTAGGTGCCAGCAAGCACAGAATCTCTTCCTCTGCCACCCCCTGCCAATCTACTGCATGACTGCTGCTGTTAGCCCCATTGCCAAGGAAGCAGGTCAGTAGGTATGACATCGGTGCCCCAATGTTTCATGGAGTAGATGTCTTCTTACATGAGCGTATGTAATGGCCTCTAAAGTGTGACGGGCTATTCCAAACCATGCAGCAATAACTCTGGTATTGCATCATTTTTTCCAGGGATGCTATGCTTAATATTTCTGTCAAATATAGTAGCGCAAATGCCTAAGATCTAAAAAAAACCCCAAACTCCGTATGGTGTTGAGACTAAAAATATTACCCATCAAACAATATAAAAACTTCTTTTGTTAAACTATTCTGTAATACAGATGATTTCCCCCCCTTCCTTTTCAGAGTATGATTTCTTCCATTGTGAACAGCACTTACTATGCAAATGTCTCAGCAGCAAAATGTCAAGAATTTGGGAGGTGGTATAAACATTTCAAGAAGGCAAAAGATATGATGGGTAAGCAAAAAGATAAGACCTGAACTACGCTGACTATATGCTTATACTTTAGCAAACCTTTAAGCTTGGTTTGAACTCTGGAAATGCAACGTGGTCTTAGTCTGATGAAATCTCTGTACATTTTTAAAAGTTTGATTTAGCAGTTTTCCTGACTGTATCAAGGGAGAAGGAAAAAGGAAGGCACATCAGTGCTTAAATGTTGCAGATGCTTGGATTTTTAAAATGTAATGCTTATCAATATGAGTACCTTGGCATCCTTCGTTTTCTGCTACTTAGGCAAAATGTTTTTATTTTTCTTTGAATATTAGTTTAAAAGCTTTGCAGCATTTGATCACTGATCCAGTGCTCTGTAAGAATAGAAGTGGTGGCAAAATGGTTAGCTCACACATGCATTCCATACTTGATGACTGCAACATTAAGTGATGGCTTGATTGTGTGAAATGGCTCTCACAGATCACATGACATACAGAACTTCCTTGTTGTCTTATTTTCCTTTGGACACGATTTTTCCCAATAGAGCTCGTACATACATTCTTCTGCAGGTGGATGGATGTAAAATCACAGTTCTCTCTGAAACTTTTTTCCAGTCATCCCTCCCTGAGTATGGAGCAGTAAAACCTGGGAGAATGAAAGTGTGTGGCCAAGTCTACTACACCTAGCAACCATTGCCATGATCATAGAATGCTGCAGTCCAACACCTTGGGATGGCAAGAATGGTTGCCGGCTCTGGAAGCTGTAGATAGTTTGTAGCTTGATTCTCACTAGCATTTATCCACATGTTCCTTTGTATTTCACTGAGGAAGGAGAATCTATGTAAATGTCTAATTTTATGGTTAGGATAATTTACATGTATGTATGAACCAGCCCTATATTAAACTGAGAAGCAGTTTAATATACACAAAAGACTTTGTGTTTCAACACCTGAAGGAAGGAATCTGGTGAACAAAACACAAATTTATTTTGAGTTCTGATCAAAATTTAAAGAATTTGTGACAAGGAAATCAAGTGATGTTGTGTTTAGGGTTTCACATAAGTTCAGATCTCTAAATAGTTTTTTCCTGCCACTTATTTCCAAGACCAGATGTGCATGGTGAGTTTGCCAAAGCTCTTGAGAGACTGTTGTAGAATTTTACTCATATTAGTTGTGCTATTGAAAAGATGCATTTTATTAACACTGACTATACTCATAATAGTATGCTATGTACTTTTCCAAATACTGTTTGTAAATGAGGAAAAGATATTTTTATTTTGTCTACCAAAACAATATTAAATGAAATGAGCTAGTTGGAATTCAGCCAAAAGTTGATATTTGACCAATAATACCAGTTCTACTATTTCAAAATTCTATAATTATAATCATTCAAAATCTTTATAATACTAACAGACAGTATTTCAAGACAAGCAGTGAAACATTTAGATAGATTCTCACTCAAGACACCATAAGAATGGTCTGTGTCCGGTGTTTTAGGTCATGGGATGTGATCATCAGTTGAATCTTTTTAGGTTGTTGGTGCCAAACGTAGTGATATAGTCTACTTTGGAAATAAAGATTTTCAAATAGCAGTTTTCCATAAATGAAATTGTGTACAAAACATTTAAGTATGTTGGATATTTCAGTGCACAATGATGTATTGTCACTACATCTTTTATGACAAAATAGAGACTAAGAGTAAGAGTCCATGAAGACAACTAAGGTACTTTAAATATACCTGCAAAGTATTTCACCCAAGTGAATCATATATTTCATTTTTCCTCTGTAGCTGAAATGGATAGCCTTTCTGAACTATCCCAACAAGGTGCCAACCACGTCAACTTTGGTCACCAACCAGTCCCAGGGAACACTGCTGAACAGCCTCCGTCACCTGTTCAGCTTTCTCATAGCAGTCAACCATCTGTTCGGACCCCGCTTCCAAACCTGCACCCTGGACTTGTATCTACTCCCATCAGTCCTCAGTTGGTGAATCAACAGCTGGTCATGGCCCAGTTGCTGAACCAGCAGTATGCAGTGAACAGACTTCTAGCCCAACAGTCCTTAAATCAACAGTACTTGAACCATCCTCCTCCTGTCAGCAGATCCATGAACAAGCCGTTGGAGCAGCAGGTCTCAACTAACACAGAGGTGTCTTCCGAAATCTACCAGTGGGTGCGTGATGAATTGAAACGAGCAGGAATCTCGCAGGCAGTTTTTGCACGTGTGGCATTTAACAGAACTCAGGTTAGCCTTTTCTTTTAAACAGCAAGATTAATTTTCCCATATCCCCTCCTGTTCATTATTCTCTTATTTGCACTAAATTAGACAGAGTGCAATCCTATGTAGAATTACACCGCTAGGAACCCATTGACTTCAGTGGACTTAGGAAGATGTAACTCAGCTAAAGATGGTGCTGTTGAATTTGTCATGATGGACAACTAACCCTTGATACAAAATTGGTGATCATTTCAGCTGTGGTTCCAACCATAGATGCTAAAAGTAATCCCGGTAGTGTTGAATACACTTAGTAATTTCTGCTGATATAATTTTACAGTCTACTAATCATTGCTTGGAGAAGCAAATAGTTAAAAAGAACAACACTTTATATTATGTAGGGGCTGTGGTTCAGTGATAGAGCATCTACTCAGCATGCAGTTACCACTCTCTGGTAACTCCAGTTAAAAGATCTGGCAGTAGGTGATGCGAACTATCTCTGCCTGAAACCTTGGAGACCCGCTGCCAGTCTGAGTAGACAGTACTGACTTTGGTGGACCAAGGGTCTGATTCAGTATAAGGCAGTTTCATGTATTCATGTGTGTTCAAGGCTTTTAAAGTACTATCTGACTGCTTTGCTCCCACATTGAGTATAAGAGGAATGTTTTCAAAGTATTACAGCTATGGCCACACTCATATTTGTGTTCTCAGAAATAGCTCATTTCAGAAGTAAAGTACTGTGCTACCAGCTCATTTTACTCTGTATTGAACTGGTAAGGGAGACTGCACAAATACCATGAATGTTAGCCAGGTTGCCCACTGTATTTGAGAAATCACGGGTCACAGCCTGGAGATTTACTGTTGGCTGCCCAGTCTGTTTTTGGGTTCTGTTGCCCAAGAGCAGATGGCCTCCATATTGTTACAGCCAATGGTAAATTCTCCTGTTCGCAACATGCAACCCTAATAGTTGAATTTGAAATTTGCTGTGCACTTAAAATTTATTTATTTATTGCATTTATATCCTGCCCTCCCCACGAATGAGCTCAGAGCGGCTTACAATAATCAGTACAATGTACCTAGTCCGCATAAAATATTTAAAACAAATTAAAATAATCATACATTTAAAGTGCTCGCAATACTGGTAATTCCTTCAATTAAACTGTGGCGTGTTCTAAGATGTACCACCAGAGTTCCCGGCTCTGCGATCTTCCGGCCTCCTGTGAAGATATGGCTCTATCTCCACCCTAGGACCGGCCCTGTACCACAGATGTTCAAATAGTGGTAGTTGGTGGTAGTGGCGAGTGGCTCCTAATTTAAAGCCTGGTGGAAGAGCTCCATCTTGCAGGCCCTGCGGAACTGTAGAAGGTCCCTCAGAGCCCTGATCTCCTCCGGGAGCTCATTCCACCAGTAAAGAGCGGCCACTGAAAAGGCCCTGGCCCTCATGGCAGCGAGCCTGGCATCCTTAGGGCCTGGAATGATTAATCAATGTTGTGACCCCAACCATAGTGCTCTCTGGGGTATATATGGGGAAAGGCGGCCCCTCAAGTATGCCGGACATTGGCCATATAGGAGAGGAGGATGCATTATGTAATCTAGTAAAAAACAGGGTATGTGATACAAAAGTGGCACTCTCTTCCAATAAATCAATACTGGTAAGGATCCATTCTGCACGTTGCAGCCTGTGACCTATTTCTGTGTGCCATTTAGACTTGGATTGCACAAGCATTGCAAATATTTTGGCTAGTGTCCGTGAACTCAGTTGACTCCTCTCCCTCTACCCTGGGTATCCGTGAGTCCTCCCCTGGTGTACCACAGAATGTAGGAGTATGGTAAGGTGCCACCAAAACTGCATAATACTTTTCCTTTTATCTACTACAAGCTCTATGATACATTGATCTTTTAAATCACTTATCACCCAATAGACAAAAGGAGTAAAACAAAAATTGCAACTGCTAGAGTTCTTTTTGAATCCCGGTCAGCAAGTTAAAAAGGTAATTAGGTCATCGGAATATACATCAGAACATGGTGAAATATAATTCCTCCTCAGGTTAGCATACAAAGGAAACTCCAGAAGATGTGCTTTTATGTTGATCTTACCTAAGGGACACAGACAAATTCGTTCTGAATAAGATAAACCCATTACCTACTGCTGAGGAGTGAGCATTTAGTCTGGCCAGAATGAGCGCCTTTACCAGGCTATGGGAAGACAACAGATAGATGTAGGAGGAAAGAGATTTTGGAGCTGAATACCAAAAAAATTAGGATGAACAGGTGCGGCGTGCTCTACCAGCAAAGCTTTGGTGATCAATTGATTTTACACGCTTTCTCACCAAAGCAAATGCTGCATGTAAGCTGCTTAATGGAATGGAATCAAAGCACCATACACACATTTTTATAATTGCCAGGAAAAAAAATAAAAATTAAAGTGGAGGATCACATAAATTTTACAAAAAGACAATAAACCATTTCATTTGCAAAAATGCCTACCCAGTATTTAAATCTGGTGGTAAAAAACTCCATCTGATAGGAGTGATATGGGCTTTCTCAGAAAAATTTAGAATTAGAAAATTTTCAAATAAATTATCCAGGCTCGTGAATAGAGCATGATCTGATTTTTTTTTACCCACATTTAATAAACAAATTTAAAAATATCTCATGCCTCATTGGCAACTAGAATAGAAATATTTGATTGGGGGGAAACAGATAATGTGGAGTTTAAATGTTATGTTAAAAGATTTGTATGGAAATTATTTGTATTGGAAAATACTTTAAAATTTTAAAGACAACACAGCATGTACTTATATTACATTGCTTAAATTAAAGAAAAAAATCCAAAGGCACTGCAAACTCTTTACACTCTAATTTTAGCACACTCAAAGAACTATACCTGATCTGCCATAGAAGTGGTTGTCCATTCACCTTTTTCAACAGGATTTAACTCTAGTCCACAGAGGTCACTGTGGCACTTTATCATTTGCTTTACTTGTTAGTTCTATATCCTATCCCCATATAAATAATTACCAGCCTGAAATTTCTAAGCTTGCCTGATTACTGTACTGGCCATGACTGTCATATTAATGTTATGAATCTTCAGAACTGGAATTTTTTCCGTAGAAAAATTAAGCACCATAAAATTCTGTGCCCAATATCTCTGATAATATTTTCAGTTCCAACAGAGATCCCATCCACCATCCCATTTCAGTCTTTCTCTGGAAATTCTACTGAAGCATATATATATGTAGCAGATGCATTGGAACATGTGTCCTTTAAGAGTTTGTTAAAAAATCTTCCCATGCTCACTTTGGAAAGCCACTTTGGAAAGTGTGGCAACTTTTTTTTTGTCTTTTAAATCCATCTCGGTTGCCCTATAACAGTATCATGTGCAATCTAAAAGATAATCTAGGTAGGGATTAGAGGTACATTTAAGGCAAATATTCTCCCAGGAACCAATTCTTAATTTGCAAAGAACTCTCACCTAAGTTAAACAGATATAGAAAGTTATCAATGCATCTTTGAATAAAAATGTTCTAAGGATGAAAATAAGAGCAGGGGGGAAAGGGGAAATGTTTTGATAGTCTATTTTTGAAAGTTGGCTTTTTTGTCCATTTGTAAATTCAGTTTCTATGTATGTGGTGGCTTCATATTCATACAATAATTTAAGCTTGTATTTTCCCCTTTCCCCCCTTAAAAATGTACCCTTTTAAAAATGTACTTTGAAGGCTCTGTGTACTCCCTTCTCGAGTGTGGGGAATGAAGGGGACTTCTTATTTAAGAACTTTGCAAATCAGCATGGCCTCAAAATTTACAAATCAGCTTCATATATAAGCTGCTAATGCACAACCAACCTATGCTGTAATCACCCCGTGCTGTAGGTTGATTGCACTTTTATTTACTAATGCATAGCTGAGTAATTACTGTAGCCAGCATCCTTGTGACTTGTAGAATAATACTGTTGTGAGATCATATCATACCAAGAGTACACTGCTGTCTGCACCTTCCAGCACTAGATTATTTATTTACTGTATTTACATACCACCTTTCCATGCAGACACTCTAGACATTTACATTTTTTTAAAAAAAGAAAAAACCTATTTTTAATAACTTTTATACCTACTTTCCCCCTCCCCCTTAATTCTTGGGAACGCTTCCTACAGCATTGGGGAAAGTCAATTTTCTATTTATTTTGGAGTATCTTTGCTTTGCCAAGGTCTGGTTTTTATTAGTTAAAGTAGAACAGCCTGGTCCATCAGACTGAGCTTTGGACAATGTCTTTGATAGGTCCTTGAAACAATAATTTACTGAAAACCCTTGGGATTATTTCCTGCTCTGTGACTTCTTCCTTTGAACGGAAGGAAGAATTTTGGTAATATTACATCTGCTGAACTTTAATTAAATTGAACCTTTGGAAGATAAATTTGTACAATGTCTCTGTATGTGGCATTTATGGAAGTGACTGAAGCTATTTTTATTTATAATATTTATAGTCCACCTTTCTCATTGAGACTCAAGGCAGATTGTGTGTCTGTGCAATCAGTAGGATGAGGAAACATCTAATAAACAATGTAATAGGACCAAGGTTGTAGAAATCTGAAACAAGGCATACTATTAAGCATATGTTAAACAGTCCAAGAACCTACCTTGTATTAGATAAGCAGAAATGTAATGGTATTAAACATATGTTAAACAGTCCAAGAACCTTGTATTAGATAAGCAGAAATGTAATGTAGTGAGCAATGTAAAACATACAGCAACAGATACTTCATATTAGTAGTGCAGTCAACAATTCTGTTCCTTTTATTGAAGCATCTTCCTGAATCATTCTGTTAGCAGCCGTATTTCCTTTATAAAATTGCATTTCTAAATAGTTCCAATTAAAACAGTTTGTAGAAAGCCAGAAGCATGGGGCCTTCTGACCTTCTCTGCCAGGTCCATTCCAGAGGGTGGGTGCCACTACAGAGAATGTACTTGTCTGGGCAGTTTAGATCTTGCCTATTTGCAGGGTGGCATCTGTAGAAGGCCCTATTGTCATA